CCTGTACATTGTCAGTGTGAGATGATTTACTCATTTTACTTATATTAGTATCATTGATCAACCATACAACATGACTTACTTATCTTCTTTTCATCAACCATGTTTTGATTGTATAAACATGACTTATCAACCATACATGTTTTCATCCTATAAACATGACTTTACTTATCTTCTTTCTTTACTTATGTATTGACTTACTTATCTTCTTTCTTTGATCAACCATACATGTTTTGATTGTATAAACATGACTTACTTATCTTCTTTCTTTGATCAACCATACATGTTTTGATCCTATAAACATGACTTACTTATCTTCTTTCTTTGATCAACCATACATGTTTTGATTGTATAAACATGACTTACTTATCTTCTTTCTTTGATCAACCATACATGTTTTGATTGTATAAACATGACTTACTTTTTCTTTTGATCAATTGTATACATCTTTGATTGTATAAACATGACTTACTTATCTTCTTTCTTTGATCAACCATACATGTTTTGATTGTATAAACATGACTTACTTATCTTCTTTCTTTGATCAACCATACATGTTTTCATTGTATAAACATGACTTACTTATCTTCTTTCTTTGATCAACCATACATGTTTTGATTGTATAAACATGACTTACTTATCTTCTTTCTTTGATCAACCATACATGTTTTGATTGTATAAACATGACTTACTTATCTTCTTTCTTTGATCAACCATAAACATGTCTTTGATCAACCATACATGTGTTTTGATTGTATAAACATGACTTACTTATCTTCTTTCTTTGATCAACCATACATGTTTTGATTGTATAAACATGACTTACTTATCTTCTTTCTTTGATCAACCATACATGTTTTGATTGTATAAACATGACTTACTTATCTTCTTTCTTTGATCAACCATACATGTTTTGATTGTATAAACATGACTTACTTATCTTCTTTTCTTTGATCAACCATACATGTTTTGATTGTATAAACATGACTTACTTATCTTCTTTCTTTGATCAACCATACATGTTTTGATTGTATAAACATGACTTACTTATCTTCTTTCTTTGATCAACCATACATGTTTTCATCCTATAAACATGACTTACTTATCTTCTTTCTTTGATCAACCATACATGTTTTGATTGTATAAACATGACTTTGATCTTTCCATGATCAACATACATTTTTGTAGTATAAACATGACCATATTAACTTTACTTTGATCAACCATACACATATTTTGATAGTATAAACATGACTTTTTTCTACTTTTAGCAAGACCTGCTTAGCATCTGCTCATCTCATCTTATTCTTTTTTGCAGTGTTGTATATAAACCTCTGTAAGTTTCACACTCAGCGTCCAAATGGCAAATCTTCAGAGAGCTGAGTTTGTTACTTCACAGAGAGGCAGTCAACAAGTGCTTCATTCTGGATACCGATACGATACCCCACTCAGACACATTATACTGACTCCGAGCCGACCAGTCCTTGTTATACCCATTAATGCTGAGTGCCAGGCAGGGACCAACAAGTACCATATTTTTAACGTCTTTTGGTATGACACGGTCGGGGATCGAACTCAGCGACCTTCTGCTCTCCGGGCGGAAGCTCTAACCACTACACCACGAGGCGGTTGAGTATTGTTTACAAAGTGGTATACTAGTTATCAGAGATCCTAACACCTGGCTATACGTCAGCTGGAAATGTCGACATATATTCCAAAATTGGAATTAAAAATTGCCAAATTTGGGCTTACACAGTTTAACATTTAACTATGGCATTTATCTTTGCCATAAGTTTATGACATGAAAACATGTATGTTATATCCCAGTGAGACAGGTATGCAACTTAGATATGCAAATTAGATAACCTGAACTGGGACAATGCACTGTGATTGATTCAAATGCTAAATATCAGAAAAGTAGCACCAAAGATACAATCAAAAGACCAGAGAGATTGTTGCTACTCTTATTTAAGTTTCAATTATTCTTACTCTGTTCAACAATTTTTTAAAATAATCTGAGGAATTTTTTTCACAGCATATGAACATACCTAAAAGGAGTTAACAGGTTGTATATTTTGGTTCCCAATCAGAACATGTATTCGTATGCTTGACATTTCCTGACATCAATTTTGATACAGTTATTTCTTAAAGGGAAACACAGAGCTACAGACAACTTTTTGGGTCATTGAGTTATGTACTCGCTTGCATTCATCTCAATTGGGTATTGTAATTTTCCTTTGAGATACCAAATAAATTGTACCCACCTCACTCACACTCAATTGGGTATTTTGCCATTTTCCAGTTATTGTAAAAAAGATAATATAGTTTAGATGTTGGATTACGTGTTTGTTATTTATATTTGATCTGTAATATGATAAACGATAAAAAAGACTGCTAGTTGCCAAGTTCATGTGCTGAAATAGAAGCTCTCAAAATACCTCAGTTCTTTTATCTATTTTGTGTGTACTCATGTAAGATCAAGTTTATTGAGTATTTACAAAAATTCAAGCATACTTGTACACTAGAGATGTGACACATATCGTATTTATCGATCATCGTGATACTTTATCTGACAATAAATATGTCAATACTTTTTTCTGTATTGTGATATGTATCGTTGACCTAAAAATTGTTAATTTTCACTAGAAATTGGCGGTTATGTCAATATTTACACTGTTATTTGCTTTTAAAATATATGTTTTTAACGAAAATAACTAAAGATAGCATATCGTGATATGCATTGAATCGAATCGTATCATTCCAATATATTGTGATACATATAGTATCGTGAAGTTTCTGTATCGTCAAACCTCTATTGTAGACAATAGACTTAATAGGAATTGAGTGTTTACATAAATATTTGCATAATTTACGCAGATACGCAGCTAATCTGTATCCTCTGGAAACAGTAACATTGTGAAGATGGAACAGGCAGCGATATATACTGCAATCAAGACAATGAGGATACTTGCTGTTGAGACTATGATGTATGAGATTATGTTGTATACATTTCTACGAGTCAGGAAACTGCATCCGTTGTTTGTGTCTTGATTTAACAAACATAACAATAACAAACATACTTTCAAAAGTCTCATTTTATGTTTCATTTTTTATGAATATTGATTAGTCTCCCGAACTCATAATCGCTGACACAAGCAGGATCTGTCGATTGACCAATTCAATCAATCACTACAGCACTAATGGCTGGTGGAATCATCAACAGTATTTGCCGTCTGTCATACACGCCAAGACACAAATATATCCAATACAGCCCATGCAAGTCTATTATAGGTGCCAAGTCTTTAAATATTCTGATTATATAAACACAAAATATTGGTACAGTTAATTACCCAAAAAGACAATTTAGTTAACCTGAAATTAATCTCTCATGATCTCAATGCATATTCTTCAGTTGCAGTGTTGGTCAAATACATACCAAAATGTTCTGTTTTTATAATACTTATACAGAACCGTAACTTAAACTCGTGGATGACCTTAATTCATGGATCACGGTAATTATCATGCTATCTTGTGAATTAAGTGAATTATGATGTCACGAAGCGGTACTTTTCATGTACATACAATGCCACGCCTCGCTGACAAAAATGTTCAATCTCTGCATTACATGTAAATACAGTGAGACCCCGGATATGCGGACACATACGTTTTCACGTAAATCGTCCGGATAACTGAATATCCGGATATCTGGATTTCTGTCATCCAGGCTTACCGTATATTACCGTCTATAAGCAGAATTTTGAGGATGAAAAAAAAGCAGTGTGTAGAAGGGGATCGGCTTATCTATGAGTTACGCTTTCGTCAAACTTTTTTCCAGGGGTAAGAAAACAACATCATATCACTTCGCGTGAACAAACAACAGAAGACAACTTTGTCAGTAAAGAAGTCAAATTTGCAATTAAACCTCACTAGACAAGATTATTTACCTTTTAAGTTCTAAGTTGTTTTTGCTGGGCATTGTATTATTTGTGCTGGGATAAAGATCACCGTGTGTATTTGAGCCGGAAATAGCAATCAGCTGTGCACATGTTTCCCGGGGATCAACTGCAAACATGCACAATAATACAGTAGGTGTTTGAACGGTAGCGAGCATACACTTCTGGTTTAAAATCACTTCCAAAACAGCATGGTCGTTTTGATTTGCCAACTACAATTCACTCTGTGTCAGACAGGCCTACTAATCACCACTAATACCCTGCTGATCGATCATTAATCAGGATTAGCAGACCTTGTCTCGTGTCAAAACACTTGGGACACTCGCGCTTCACTTCACACGGTTCAGCGGAAGATAAAAGCTTCGTGCGGATAAGTGAGTCATTTTTTTTGTTGATTTAACCGGTTGGTTTGTAAAATTTCCCGTCCGGGACGGAAACCGCATATCCGTTATAGTCAGTCACTTTTATAACGTACGAGATTGTTTTTTCAAGAAAATTGATCGGAAGGCGATGTTTCCGGATATTTGGGGTCCGGGTATCTGGGGTCTCACTGTACTCTAAATCTTATTGTCCAGCACTGAGATAAATAGCCCAAGATCACTAATACCAAATTTTATATAAGTAATGTCAAGTAAAAATGATACCGTTAGCACCAACCTTCTCACATATCAATGTCTGCATTCCTAATATCAATACTTACACAAATGGGCTGTCGTACATAGCGTTTTTTTGTAACGGACTACGTAATCCACAAAACAAGGTGCCGTCAAATTTTGTGCTCACACAAACAGGTGATGATAGCAAATGGCTTCGGTAAACAAACATTTCATTTACGAGTGGAATACTAGGCATTTTCAATTTGCTGAATCAATAAATAAACTTATCAGTGAGTATACAAAATGAAATTGTGCATTTAAAATATGATTTTCGCCACACTTCTCTTATATTCACAAATTAAGGTTACGCAAGTGTATATAAATTGTGGGTCATATCTATACAAGATACACTTAAAAATTCATCAAAAATTACATAAAATGCAGAGCAACTTACCCCAACATGTTCTGCATTGTACCCCAGTTTCTCTGCTAAATTTCGCCAGTCCGAACCAAGCATTACAGTTGGCTCTAATTTCACTGTAAGTTCCTGCCAAGCAGAGTATGGCAAACATCGGAAGGGTATTTCTTCCACCATGGTGGCCTTTAAGCTCAAGGTTGACTTTTCAGCGTGACCTTGATCTTTAAACAACCTTGACCTTTGATGTGTTGTGACCTTCAAGTCTTCTTGGTGAATTGAAGGACATGTAATTAATGATGGACAGCATTAACCTGTCAACTTCTCCTGATCACTAGACATGGGAGACTGTGTAGTTTTTATTCTCACCATCTTGGATGAACCTGAAATTGGTATAAAACACATCTTTAAACTCAAGAACCAGCCAGTCTTATAGTACCTGAACTACATACTTTCCTTCCAACCAGATTTGAGGGGGTGGGGTTCATAAGAGTGAAAGCCAATTTTACAATGTTTAGTTTCTTGCACACTATTTTCATTGGATGCCTTCAAAATACCCATTTAAAACAACTGTAGGGTTTGAGCATATGTCATATACACATATATATCATCTATCACATGCATGATCTGAAGCTAAAGGGGGTATGTGGCAATCAACCAGTTCTACATTTTAACAGTCAAGCTTTTCATTCATTCATTCATTCAATGAAGTTGTCAATACTGACCAGGGTTCGAAACACCCCATGTATTAGCGTGCCATGGAACAGTACATTTTGAAATGGCACGGATAAAAATGTTCTCGGTGCCCTAATTTTTTAGAGACATAACTCACCTTTAGTCATTTAATCCCCCAAACAAAACACTTACACACATGACAAACAAGTAAAAACATTTATTGACTTTATCGCCCAGGAAATCACTGGAATTCAGATGGATGTTGTAAAGAAATGTGGTTGTTTTTCCATTTAGAGTGATAGGAGTACTGATAGTTTGGTTATTGAAGAGGAAATTGTGCATGTTAGATATATTGAACAAGATAACCTGTCACACAATTCTTAGCTATTAAAGGTGTTGGGAAAGCAGAACAAATGCATATGAAGCTTAAGAAAGCCATCTTAAACAGAAGACATATCAGTGAAAACAGAAAACAGGTCACATTTGTTGTTTACTAACAGTAAATTTCAAATGATCATCATCCTTGCTACAATCATTTATTCTAAAACATGGGCACACTTGATTTCTGAAAGGCACATCTAAAATATGTGTCTGGTGCCCTAAAGCACTTAGAAAAAAAAGTATTTCTATCCCTGCTGACTTAACAGTAATGTCTAACAATTGCGTAGATTGATGCTCATGCTGTTGATCACTGGATTGTCTGGTCCAGACTCAATTATTTACACACTGCCCCAACATAGCTGTAATATTGCTGAGGGCGGCATTAAACAACAAACCACGCAAGCGTCCTCGTATTTTAACTATAATAGTTCAGGGTGAAAGTGTGCTTTATTACACTATACAAGGTGGTAGAGCGAACTGTATTTCTTAAACATACCCTATCATTGTGTTCTGCTCTTTATCTCACTGAGTCACTGCATCTTCGATCGCGCACATACTCCCCGATATAGCACAAGCAATGCAATCGTAGAAAATCACCAGAACAATTAATTCAGCTCATTTTGGGATATATGTTCAGAGTCTAAGTGTAGCAAGCACAGATCGAGGTATGATAAAAGCATCACATCTGCTTATAGTTAGTGTCAAGATTTGGCTTGGAAAAAAGCAATGGAGCCCCAAAGCTAGTCTGTCTGCACGTCCCTGAACTACATTATTTTCCCTACTGGCTAGCGAACAGTTATCGCCCCGTAACAGTTATCACCATTACATCAGTATCACACATGCGCAGTTCCGGTCAATTACAATGCCTGTATTTTTCCTCACGGTCTTTGAAAACAATAAAGGACAGCAAAAGAAAATTCTTCACGGCAAGTAGCTAACAAAAGAGAAAACTTAAAGATAAAGTTATGAACCCTATAAAAAAAAAATAACTTAGTCGGGGAGATGTCCCATGACCTATATAATAGCAAGTTGATGTTCACAAGTCATTAATTGTTTCATTCCCTATCAGTCTACTGTAAAATAAACACTCAAATAGTCAAACAATAAATTATTCGAGGTTACGGTATGATATAAATATTTATTATTTCACGAATGGCATGAGAAATTCTGAATGGCGATAACTATTACAGTTAGTTGTGGGAAAACATGCAATGCTAAAGCCCTAAATGAAGCAAGTCTAGATCTGAATCTGGTCTCCCTAGGGCTCCTTTTAAATTTAAATGTGTTTATTAGTTACAATCAATATTATATACATTCAGAGACTAACCGTTAGTCTACCCAAAAGCTTGAGAATCATGCGAATTGGTGGATCATAGGAGTGAGAGAGTTTTATGCCGCATAGGAACTGGATATATACCATTTCTACCGAGTTCTCACATCAACAATTTTTACGACAACAACCTGTTGACCCGAGGAGCGATGTGAAGCTGTTAATGTTCTCAAACTACATTGTCACTTTGTACTAAATTGGTTTAATCAGTAAGAAAACATCTGATATACATGATCACTTGTATAAAGAGGAACTTGGGCACAAAGACGCAATCAACAACATCGGGTGATGCTTTTTAAATCAATATCAGTTGCTTATGATTAACCATCTGTTTTAATCTTTACGCAAATGTCTCCCTGGACTTAAACTAAGTTTCATGAACATTACACGATGTTTGCACATCAATGATCCGTATCGATAAGGCCATAATCAATATGTGACATTTAGATTACAGCAAGTTGTTTACAACGAATGCCTAGCATTGCCTACCTCATCATGCTCCAACAAGGAAGTTGTAGGCTGACGCCATTTTGGTTGCGTTTGAGCGAGCGGCTAGCGTGTCGCCTTCAGAAAGGGGCGAGAACAGACATGCCACGAAAGCTGACGGAACATATCTGTTGAAGGAGCAAGATAATTTTCTGAAAAAAAAAGAAATGTATGAGCTCTGTTTACAGAACATATGTCTTATACCCCACTGTAACTAATGACCCGGGTTAAAATTGGTCTTCAGCAACCCATGTTTGTCGTGAGTAATATACTCCAGCTAAATGGCGGTGGTCTGTAAATAATCGAGTCTTGGTCAGAAAATCCAGTGATCAACAGCATGAGTATCGATCTTCCAATTGGGTGCCGTTGTACAAAGCGATCTTATGAGTGAGAAGTCTTTATGGATGACCAACTTCTTTATTGTACAATAGCGACGTTTCGGTTTAGACACTTATACCACTTTCAAAATGAGTTGGTGAATGGATACAGTAGGAAAGCTTAAGCTTTGATCTACGCAACTGGCATTTGTCAACCAGGTCAGCGAGCCTGACCACCCGATCCCGTTAGTCGTCTCTTACGACAAGCATGGGTTGCTGAAGATCAATTCTAACCCGGATCTTCACGGGTTTAATGAATCGTGTGGCTAAGCTCGTTGACTTGAATGATCAACTGAGGAGTGAGTGAGTTTAGTTTTACGCCGCACTTGATGGCTGTATGTGATCATGTACTAGAAGATGTTGACTGTATTATAACAGACTAATATCAAGTTGAGGACACTCTACTCCAACCTTGGGCTCACGTCTGGTCCATATCAAAACAGTGTTACTGACACAGTTTTGATTGTTTGTTTTACTCCGCACACAACAATATTCCAGCTGAATCGCGGCGATCTGTAAATATTCGAGTCTGTACCAGACAATCCAGTGATCAACAGCATTATCATCGATCTACGCAATTGGGATAGACGAGACACCCGAAACGTGGGGAACGAGCAAGGGCGTTTATCACTAGTCCACCCCTTCCGTCCACATTAAGCTAGATGTGGCCACATACGTGTAGGAAGTAGGTCAGCGTGTGCTTACACCGCATTCCGCATGTACCTGAAGAGAATATAGTGAATACACCTTGCCTTGGCTTGTACTGTGAACAAAAAGCAGTTGAGTCTGTGAAACATAGCCTAATGAAAAAAGCGTTGGTTCGTCACGCTGAAGGCCCGGGTTCGATTTCCCACATGGGCACAATGTGTGAAGCCCATTTCTGGTGTACCTCCCCGGGCGTGGTTTTGCTGGAATATTGCTAAAGGCGGTGCAAAACCTCACTCACTCAACGTGAAACATGTTTCTTGTGTATGTCCATACGTATGAACTCCTGGACAAAATACAAACTAAATCAAAACGTACCGAGGATAAAACAGATCACCAAGTAACTGCAGACTTTGGGTACAAGACATGACTAGATATACGATGTCCCTACAAAAAATTATATTCTCAAGAAAAAAGTTAACCACCACACCAATATAGAATATTAAAGTATGATATGGATGATAATATGAACTGTTAAATACTTTAATATTGAAAATTGGGATGGTCCTTAACTTTTTTTTGGTCGAGTACATAGAATGAGTTGGGGTTTTCGCCGCTTGTAGCAATATTCCAGCAATATCACAGCGGGGGACACCAGAAATGGTCTTCACACATTGTGCCCATGTGGAGAATCGAACCTGGGTCTTCGGCGTGACGATCGAACTCTTTAACACAAGGCTACCCACCACCCCCAGAACATGACTGACCGCAGTTCGTACAACAGTTTGAAAAGACATGACCAGCTTTCATATCTTCCTGAAGAAAAGCTATTCTTCCATATCGGGGATGAGAGAAACAGCTGTTCTTAACTGTTTGTGAGAAGTATATTATTGCAATTCACACCTGAATTTGACTTTCAACATTCACACCTATGCAAACATATCCAAAATTAGCACTGTAACGATCTATTGAAATTAACCCTATAATGCGTGTGTCGGAAAGTACTTGCCAAGAAGTGGTGTGTATCTGCCACAGCGAATGGGTTAATATGAGACCCGGAAGGTTTACAGTGGTACGTCTGAATGTTCCTTTGATTTCCACGAACCATATGGCCTCATGCGTAACAAGGACCGCAACTCATTCTTTATCCAGATTCGGGGAATTTAAATGATTACTTCGTCTGTTTTAATTCCATGGGGTTCGGGGAGTACAGTCTGTTCAGGCAACGCTAACGCTGTATAAACCGTGTTTGGTATGTACATTCTTACTATAAATATTAAGAATGTATTCTATATACGGAATATTAATTTCGTGTGTTCTGTCTAAAACACTATAAATATCTAAACACATGAAATATGATATTGTTTCACAGCCTAAACCCACCTAAACACAACTAGTCACTAAAATGCCACTCAAAGAAGTTAGTCACGGTATGGCTGAAATATTGCCGATATGAAGTTAAATACTCACTCATTCACTCACTCACTCACAACATCCACACATGCATATGTTCAGAATTAAAGTATGTTTACGACAAGCGGCATTATCGTTATCATTTAGTATTATCCAAATACAACCTAAATATGTTGAAATTAAGCCCATAGTATCGGACAGTGATTCAAACTATTCATAATATACACTGAAATTTAATTGCAATTCAGATTCAAGTTATATACCTCCACGACAAACAACGAGTACGCCGCACTCACTGTTGGATATCCCCTCGCATCAATCTGATACGCTGTGATATGTAACTGAAATACTATTGAAGGTGGTAAAGTGAACCCAGTTACTACTGAGATAGGGACAAAGGAAACTGTACCACCGGATATGTATGGCTGTATATGTCGAAGTGTATCAACAAAACTAAGTTTGTCAGGCATTTTCACTAGGACAAAGATAAAGGTTTTGTTATCCTTTCGCATACTTTCTTTCCAAATACTTATGTTATTTTTAATAATATTTCTCAACCAGATATCTTCATTTTCACTAGCCAAACCAATCCAAGTGGTTAAAGCATTCGCTCGTCACGCCCCAGACCCGAGTTCGATTCCACACTTGGGTACAATGCGTGAAGCCCATTTCTGGTGTCCCCCGCCATGATATTGCTGGAATATTGCTAAAAGCGGCATAAAACTAAACTAACTCACTCACTCATGACATCAGATCACTTCCTTTCACGAAATGTACATAGGTATTGTATGATTATGTGGTGGTGTATATTTTAAATACATGAAGAACAGCAGTACTTGTTTGGTCATGCAACTGAAATAGCGGTGTATTTCATAGTCTATCACTTAGACCCTGCACAGCATGAAATGGACTTATCCTTTTCAAGTCTGGAGCAATTTGGCAAGTCTAGATTGCCTAAGCTCTGGTATAGATTTCAATAGCCTGTCTCACAGTCCCTGAACCACATTATTTTCCCTACTGCCTAGCCCTCTCTGCAATGCCAAATCTCTAAATGAAGAAAGTCTAGATTTCCTCAGGTTCTGAATCTCTGGTCACCCTTCATCCTCGATAATCTCCAGGGTATACGTTACGATAAATCTCCACTATCGTATCCCCTGGAGATTATCGAGGATGGTCTCCCTTGGGCTCCTTCAATTTAAATGGGTTTATTTGTTACAATCAAAATAATATATGCAGAGACTAAGCGTTAGTCTAAGTTTTCAATAGCAGTCCGTTTTGTAAGTTAACAACAGTATGACCTACCTTTGTGTGGGCGTTTATCGTGTCTATACCTACTGCATGCGGACGTGTGGAATGCATTCCGTGTTCCACGAAGTACGAAAATACATGTAGTTTCAAATTTCTGTACGCAATACAGCGCTGCATGGCCTGACTCAAATACAGATAAGCAATAACTGAGTCAGCTTGTGGGGTCAGGATCTTCAAAGAGTATATCTCCTGATCTGCTGACAGAAACAAAAAATCTGTTTGAAACACATACCCATCCCAGCACACAAGTCATAGACCCCGTACTCAATACCATACGCCCTGTGAAGATCCGGGTCTTCATGAAGTAACCCGTGTTCGTATCAGGCTGTACTGAATGCTAGCTAGGCCCAAGGATTATTTATACGTTTTTAAGAAATTTTCATTTGAGCTATTAATTATTACCTTAGTGTCAGGTGATCGGGTTCACTTATCTGGTTGATGCGTATACATTTGTACATGTATATCACCGTGTCCCAACTACGAAGATCGATTCACGTGGTGTCGTCTGCTCCACACTCGATTATTTGCAGACCGCTGTCGTACAGCTTTAATATTGCTGCCGGTGGCGGAAAACTGGACAAAACAATCAAACGATAAATCTATATACCTCTCACACATAATTATCATCATTTCCATCATCATCATCATCATCATCATCATCATCATCATTTACCGCACTTACCGCTACTATAGTGTCTGCTCAAATGCGAATTGTTTCCCAAACCTATTATCCGTAAACATTGCCTGCAAATAACCGTCATAGCGCCACTGAGCATATGTAAGGTGGATATTAGGCGCTTTACAAATGTATTATTATTATTATATCAAAGTATACGGGAAATTATGTGGGAAGACACCGACGAGAGCATAGGCCGATATCGTGACGTCACGTCCACAAACGAAGCTGGGGCATCCACTGAGATCATGTTAATTTACATAAGGATGTCCGTATGTTTACCATGTCCCGCCCGCCCTCAATTTTCATTCCGACCTGTTGTGGTGGAAAAGGTACCTTTACACAACCTGCACAAGTCCCCAAGGTGATAATTAATAGTTTAAATGAAAAATTCTAAAAAAATGTAAATGACAGACTGACGTCCTTAGACTGTACTGTCTGCTTATCTAGACTCACCTCTTTAAAGGATAGAAATACTATACGTCTATGGGCTAAGCATTCAGTACAGATTATAGGGAAAAAAAGTCCTCGGTAAAACAGTACGGGAAAAAGTCCTCGGTAAAACAGTACGGGAAAAATAGTCCTCCGGAATAAAAGTCCTAATATTGTGAAAACAGATTAAATGGATGTTGACATCAAAGTTATTGTAGAGAAAACATAAAGTAAAGACATGGATTAAATACTGAGTTAACCAAGAACAATCATATTTTTACTGGGCAGATCTAATACAAGATTTAGCTTGAGTTCACAATTAACTAGTGTTCACAACAAGATTGTTTTAACGAACTGCCTTGTGGAGTACTGTTTGAGTTCTGTTTGTCAAATAAAATGTGATTTTAGCTGCTTGAATCAAAGAATAATTAGTGTAAAGTATTAAAATAAAGTATTAAAAAATAATAAAGTCCTGCAAATGTATTTTTGTCAATTTACATTGTTGTATGTGAATAAAGTATTAAAAACCCGAATATCTAAGTTTTTTCTTAACATTTGTTATAAAAAAAAAATAAAAGTAGGACTTTTTTCCGGAGGACTTTTTTTCCTAGGCAAATTTAGTACTTTTGTACCGGTACTTTTTTTTCGGAGGACTTTTTTCCGAACACCTCAGTACAGCCTTGGGGCATTCAGTACAGCCTTGTACACGGTGGATCTTTCTACATCTATATTCGTTAGAAACTTGCGAAGCAAAGCGACTCGATCTTCCTCATAAGTTGATTCAAAGACTTTTAAGTACGTGTGTGTTTTATAGTGCCAGCCAACTGAGATATCATACTGGAGTTTCACATGGACACCTTACTATGTGTCGACCACTCAGTTTATTAAACCCCTAAATGCCCTGCGCCAGGCTGGGAAATAACAAGGAAGGTGCGGCTTAATGAAAGAGGTGGCCAGTATCTAGTTTCTCGAAACTATTTGAATAGTAGACAGTGTAATCTTAAAGAACAATTTGTGGTAGGAAACATGAATGTGTATGAGTATTTTAACGCAGTTTCCCATTTCACTGGCTATTTAATTGAGTATATATTTGCATGTGTTGTTGTATATTAAATATGTACTGATAAATAAACTGATAAACCTGATCATATCCATATCCTAATGCCAGGGAGACTATAA